ATGTTGGTTTCAAGATATGATATAGGGGTGGGACGGGAACATATTTGGTGGGGTAAAGAAAGTGATCACAACTGATAAGGGCTGATAAAAGGCGCTAGAACGCAAGTGTCGCGAAATTCATAGCTCGGGCACCAGTGGTCGTCAGGAGTTGGTTTCAAGATATGATATAGGGGGTGGGACGGGAACATATTTGGTGGGGGTCACAAAGTGATAACGACTGATAAGAGCAGATAAGGCGCTGAAACACAAATTTCACGAAATTCATAGTGCGCTTCGCAGCAGTCGTCAGGAGCTGATTTTGGGGCATGATATAGGGGGTGGGACGGGAACATATTTGGTGGGGGTCAAAAAGTGATAACGACTGATGAGGACTGATAGTAACGATATGCGTACGAACGTAGAGAGCACTTGAAATAGAAAATAGAGAGCAGATTGTAGATAATGCCTTTCATTTCAATATCATTTCATCAGCGTTGTAATTGTAAACTCAAACCTTTCGACCGCTACACCTTCTAGAGTTCTTGAGGATGAATGGGATGCGAATAAATATGATAATGAATACTGGGCATTCCGTTTTGAGATATTCGACCGCTAAATTACCTCGATACTCGACGCATAGTGGTTGTTTACATCATCACTTTAGCTGTGCACTTCACTGCGCTTATCAAACAGTGAGATACAGCCAAGATGGGCAGCCTATGCAACGGACAGTAATACATTTAACGAAGCAGCTATAATTTAGCGGTGAAACCTAAAGCTTCATCGATTGTCAGTTCTATCAATGCGCGCGGTAGCGAGCGGAGCTAAACGGGTAATAATCCTTCTATTATTATAAAGCGCTAACTTTGTGTGTCGGTTTGTGTATCTGTATGTGTGTGTGTGTGTGTGTGTATGTATGTGTGTGTGTCCGTCCGCAAAATGAAGTGAGTGAGAAGGAAGCTCATGGGATAAACAAACCGCTAACAAATCGGGTAGCTTACAGGATTTGAGATATCAATGTTTTGTAGCAGGATAGTTGTGATAACACTCTTAGGGCTATATAAACACCTGCTTAGCACACTTCCGTTCATTCCACATGGTGCTGCAGTGGCAGCTGGAGGGCAGTGGAGAGAGGAAGGGAGGATGAGGAAGGGAAGCGAAAAATCTACCGTCATATCATGATTGTGTCCCTTCTACTGTATGAAACACCATTGTGTTGCATACGCGTCACTTCCAGGAGGTGTTGGTGTCACAGGAGGAAGGGACCATAGCGGAGGATAGAAAGCTTGCGCAGGAAAGGAAGGTCCCGGCGGTTGACGGGGGACTAATCTGGTATAATAATAATATAATATTTGCAGTTCCATGTCACAACGTGTACATCAGTGATAAGATCAAGTGGAAGACCTGGCATAAAACCGAGAAATCTGATAATTTAAGCATTCTGCATGAGACAAGTGGCCGTACTCCTACTGGTAGTGGGATATGCAAAGGCACGAATCACTTGTCGAGGACTGGCGGGGGAACCTTTTGCTGGGGGGGGGGGTTTTTTTTTTTTTTTTATGTTTTGTGTACTTTTCGTTATAAATTCGTTTGGAAAGCAAAGCACATGTTCGCACTTTTTGAAGGGTTTTGCCGGTCAATTTTTTGGAACCGCGAGTTTTAAGGGTGACCATAACCTTCTTCTTTTTCGTTTGTATGGCAAAATTTTGGTATGGCAAGATAGCACAGGACGTAGCTTTTTAGGAGCCTTGACCATTTGCCGAAGATTCACTTTTTGAAAAATCACACGCTTTTTGCGCTTTTTTTGGGTTTTCGAGCAGTAACTTCGAGTTTTTGGGCTTGGAATGGCGGATACGATGAAAAAGCAGCTCATTGGAAGTTAAGATAGAGAGGGTCAGGGACTCATGAAAAAGCCAGAAAAAACGGCTAAGAACCCGAGAAACGGGACCCCTTCCTTGCCCGTTGATTTCCGCAGTGATGCGACACTCATCGGCGCTCCTCTCTTCAACGCTAATGCTCTCTCTGCTGAGATGCAGACACGAGACAACCCGAGGTACTGGGCAAGTAGCGCGCCAGCTGGGCCGCGGGCGAGGCCGTAGATCACCAGGGGTATAACCTTCAATGCAAATTCGGCCGCCTGTCAGTATGCCTTTTAATCGCTTATTTTAAGAGCAGTAGGTAATTCAACGCAGTTGCCAAATCCATTTCGTGAAAATTGTCAATGATATCCTCAATACCTGAATACAACTTTCCTCCTACAAACGCCCAACTTCCTCAAATGCGACCTGTCCGCCCAGACTGTTCCAACGGACGACCTCCCCCCTCCTGCGCTGAAAGTAAAACTATTAGGTACCGGATATCTTAGTGTCGCTTTTCTGAGTTCAGGAAGTTTTGGGGCCGATTACTATGGAAAATCAATATCTCAGAAAGTCCTTCCCCAATTTTTATATACTTCTTCTGAAAATTCCTGGGTCCAGTGTGCAAATTCGCATGTGTGTACCAAATGCATCAAAATTCTTGCTGAGAGCTGTAACCTCCGCCCACCAAACCAGCATTGCATTTGATGGAGGGAATACTACCATTTAAAATGCTCATCGGTTTTTCACAGAATATTCTCACCAAAAGCACAGTGAGGTGCTTCGAATGAAGATGGCCCGTCAAAAAAGGTGCCCTTGTTAAAACAGTCGAGACGGGCCACACCACCATCTGGTGTGAAAATGGTTTTGAAAACCTTAGTAGTGACTGACCAAGATGCAGAACCGCTTCACGAGGTGATTGCACAAGAAATTCTAATAAATGTGCTCATCTGCTACTCACGTGTGCTCAAAAAGGGTGCGTTTTTGACCCCATGTGGCAAAAAAGACTCCGGGAAAAATTGTCCAGTTGAGCTGGTAAGTTATAACTTTTCCACCATACAGTGCAGACCCTACTCTAACTAACTGTATACTTCTTTTGTCCAGGCCTAACTTTTAGCAAGTGAGAGGGATGATTTGTCAGATGATGTCAAAACCGACCTACCTCTCTTTTTCGACTCAAAAAATTCCTAGCTTTAATCGTACGAGGTTTCCACTCATACTGGTAAATGGGAAAGTGCTAATGAGTCATTCGATGAATATGCTGTTTCACTCCCCGGATTCTGAATTAACTAAAATATTGGTGGTCCGAAACTCGTGAGCGTGAATCAAAAAACGACACAGATATGCCAAGTACCTAAAAGATTTTTATGGTGAAACAAAATACACCAGAATAGCTTAATGATGAGCCTTGATGTCTAATTGTCTTTTTTCTCATTGTGCAAGAATCTCCACTAAAGGTTCGTCGTTTACAAACCACCAACGCCGTCTCGATCGGCTCCACAGTTCTATTACGCGGATGGCGATCGTAGTAATTGGACTCTTGCACCATTGCCGATCACCTCCACCGCGATTGCAGTTGGTGCAACACTTCAGTACTTCTATGAAAGTGATCAGGTGAGGCGATTTCAGACCAGATCCGACAGGGGTATCTCGGCGCTAAAAAATTTTAAAATTGTGAGAAAGACAGCATTTTCTAGGGAATGGCCTTAACGTCGCAGGATTCCCCTCTCCCTAGAACCACACCCACTTTGAAGGGAGGAATTCACGATTAGAATGAAGGTCGAAGAAAGGGAAACTGACCTAGTTGAGGGACCCACGGACCTCCTGAGGGTGCGAACTGACGCGCAATTCGCATGGAAAAATTTGACCTCGGCGACCTATCATGCCTCAAAGCTGGCGGGTCCGGCGATCTCCGCCCACCGATCATCTGATCACTCGCCGTAGTTCAATACGTGGCGAGTGATTAGATAGCTGAGAGAGCGTAGTGTTGAAGAGGGCACAGCGATGAGAGTCGCATCAATGCTCGAATCAACGGGCAAGGAAGGGGTACCATTTCTCGGGTTCTGGGCCGTTTCTCATGGTTCTTCCTTCTTTCGTGTACCACTCACCATCCCTAGGTTAATTTGAAATGGGTTGCTTTTTCATCGTGAATTCGTCCTTTAAAGGCAAACCCGGGAATTAAGCCCGTCCTTTATTTGAATGATTAATCGTAAAGGATTGTAGGGTCCATACCGTACCTAGATCACTCCAGCTTCGTCGCAAAAATGCGCGGTTAGGGCGCTAATGCTTACGGGCTTTCAACCGTCGACCCCCGTTGCAACGCTTCCCACCACTTCGATTGATGTAGAGATCAGCGTGCTCTCTCAAACGGCGTGCCGCCCTGTCTCGCCATCGTACCACATCCGACCTCGTTGAAGTTAAGGCCTTAATTTCAGCGATCCCAAAGATTTCTCTAGCTTTCCTTTCCACTTTCAGGTCGTTCCGCAGCTCAGTCATCACTACGAAGCGCTCTTTCACCAGTTTTATCCCGGGGCTTGCCTTGAACCTGGTCGCTCTTAAGAGGGAACCTTTCTCAAAAGATGCCCTCTCAAGGAGTAACCTGGCCGCTCTTGGGAGTAGACCTTACTCAAAAGATACCCTCTCCCGAAAAAGGATATTATTCCCTACGTGGCTTCACGGGAGATAATGACTTGGAAAAACAATCAGAACGGTCTTATGAAGGGTTGAGGAGGGGAATCGGCTTGGCACAAAGGGTTCACAAAAACTCGAATGTGGGCATATTCATAAATTACGGTGCTTTATACGGTGCTCTTCGTTCCGCGCAGGACGTTACGTCTGGGAACACTTCGCCGATGCCCCTTGGACAGAAAAGCGAAAAGTGGAAGTAATGCGTGCACAGGAATAGAACTACTGTATCCCTTCATGTTTGAGGTTTAAAAGCTTTCATTACAGAGGCGATTCACCTTTGCGTACAATGATGACAGCCCTACAGGGAAAGTGGAATCTTACAGGGGACACAGCAAAGGTGTCGTGGTGTTCGACGACGAGACTGGCTTCTGGATGATTCATAGCGTGCCAAATTTTCCACCCTTAGGTGAGCTATCTTGATCCAATATGCTTGTTGTGGTGCTGTTAAACCACCAAAAAATTGAGATGTCTATTGATTTGCAGGTTCTTACTCATATCCAGCGACCGGCATAAAATTCGGTCAAACTTTTTTGTGTCTCAGTCTTCCTACACAATTCCTTGGTGATATCGGGGAACACCTGCGGTATCTTCAAGCAACGCCGTTCTTGTTCAACTTACCCGATCAATTCAAAGAAAGGTGAATATTCTCATCGCAAAAGTATTCAAAAGGGCTCTGAGGTTCCATTGGTAATCTCAGGGGTGCAGAAAGCCGTTGAGCACGTACTGGGAGGAATTGCCTCGCATACATTGCCAGCGGGATACCGGCCTTCATAATTAAGGGGGATTCCACGATAAGGTCGGATGCCGAAGAGGGATCAATTTTCCTAGTGAAAAGGCAGACGGATCTCCTGATGGTGCGGCCACACGCAATTTGCAGCGAAAAATATGCCCCGAAGATCTGGCATGGCCAACTTATGCCGCTATCGACGTGGAACGCCCACCGCCTGGCTAAAGACTCGCCCCAGTTTATCAAAGAGCGTTAGCGTTGAAGAGGGCAGCAGCGATGAGAGTCGCATCAATGCGGAAATCAACGGGCAAGGAAGGGGTACCATTTCTCGGGTTCTGGGCCGTTTTTCATTTTTTCTTCATCCCTGCACCACTAACCACCTCTACTTTGATTCCAATTGGCTGCTCTCTAATCGTTAACTGCGCAATTTATGGAAGTCAGGTTGAAAATTCGGAAAATTTCAAGAAGTACGCTCAACAAAATAATTGATGATTCAGATTCCCCGTTCTCGTGAACATCGTCAAGAAGCAGTCACTGCCGAAGTCGGCCACGCATTTCACACGAATTGCTCAACTCACCACCATTCGTGGAATGGCGCTGAGGAGCTTCGCCAAGCACAAAAAATTCAACAAAGGTAGGTTGATCGTTTTGAATAAGATTGCATTTATTAAACTTGGCCTTTTAGCTTAGTATGGGAAACAGTCCATTTCGACCCAAACTCGTCTTTTGATACGCAGTTCACTAGGATCGTTTACTATTTCAACAGTAGAGGCCACGAACGAAATGCACAACCTCGAAGTGGAAAGATGCGTTTCCCGTTTCCACTCATTTTTGGCATCCAAAGGGCTATTTCTCGGAAATGAAGAACAGTTCTGTATTTTGTGAACATGTCCCTATATCGTGCAGAAGCGTTTCCAGAAAGCGCTACGCCCTGAACGACCTCCCCTTGATAGAGGCGCGTTTGGGAGGCTCGAATTGCGAGCACTGCAAAGCTGGAGCTAGCACTCTTCACGGGAATGACGTCTTCACTAAAGCTGAGCCTAAACTTAGCCTCCAATATGGAAGAAGTGAAACAATCATTGTTGTTGTCTTCAAGCAAGCACACTCTCGTGAGTGATAAAAGCGGATTCACCAGTTTTACACGACGAAAGACAAGCCCGTCCTAGTACCCTTAATTTCCAATTAGGATTTCTCTGATCCTTATACAGATCTTTGGTTCGATCTGGTGGCTCCGGAGCTCGGCACAAACATGGCAGTGGAGAGCTGGTTGAATGGTGGAGCTGACGACCTAGACAGCATTTGTACGAAAAGAACAAGCGTGAGTTTCTCCATAGGAAAATTCTCTTGGAAGACGAAGGAGCTGAAATGTTCAGATATACGATGTCACCGTAGTGAGCCTGCCAGACGTGTCATTCAACAGTTCACGAGATCACTCCAAATGGGCTGTGGCAGATACCGAAGGACGAACATCAATCGTATGCGTCGGGGATTTGAATCGACAGGTGCGAACAGTTTTATTTGCGATTCTGATGAAAGGAATTCAGACTAACAAAAACTCAAAAATACGTCAGTGTCAGACTATTCAACGGAAGAATAAAATGGCCAGGCAATGTTTTGCGTCCTAATTAGGTTGCGTTCACATTGAACGAATTGTGGCGGCAACTAATCCTGACGTAGATGGGATTCACGTGGAGGGGACGAAAAATGATAGATGTCGCGATGCAACGGTCGTCCGAGTGCGCTCCGCACGCTTGGGTTCTGTCCCGGCGAAAAGGAAAGGAAAAAGCCTGTCGGAAAGGTTCAAGTTACGGGTTCGCTCACCTTCGTAATGCGGCTGTGCTGAGGCAATGAGAGACTGAGCGCGAAGAGGAGAGTATTAGGAGAGAGTGCAACATATGAGAGAGCGCCACAATCTGCTTGTTAGCGAACGGGGAATCATTGTCACTCTGCAGGTAACTTTGCAAGGGCCTAGCGCCTTGCCGGGTGGTCATTCCATGCACTGGCAGAGTGCCGCCTTTCTGGATTGTTCCTTTAGGCCTACCCTACCGGCCAAAAGGACCGTTCACATGACATGCTGCCTTCACACAAAGGTGTTTGTGATATGAGTGCTGTGGGGTCTCACCAGAAAATGTTCCCACCCTCATACGTTAGTCTGACCATGTTCTCTACGGACAAATTATTTGATTATAAAAAAATGTTTCAGGTTTCTCTACAAGGACAATGGTATGGATTCAATGAAAGACGTCACCCACGCCGTTCGAGGATGTAGTACTTCGCCATGCTCTCTTCAAAGTTTCCTGGGATGTTGCGAAGATTACATGACGGATGACCCGAAATTTCAGTGCGGCAAACAGTCTTGACCGTTTTGTCGTTTAATCTTCTCTTTCGAACTGCAACCCCAGTTTCAACATTCTCTACAGTTGTATATAAACGACTGTTAGAACTGTTGTTGAATTGCCCAAAATTGCCGAAAATACCATAGCAGAAGACATCATACATTTTTGCTTGACTTGTGGTAGAACGGTAGCACTTGTTGGTAGACGGTTGCACTCTACACTTCATTTTTTCAGAAGGGGTGATTGGCAGCCACGCATTTTCACCTAAACATTAATGCTCGGAGTTGGGGCCTTGACTACTTGAACTAGTTAATTCACATTGGCTCGGCTATTGAGTCTAGTTGAGTACGAGGAATCAAAAGATATTTACTTGCCACTTGAGACATTTTGTACTTTACCAATATCCTCTATGAAGTAGGTTCAAGTGATGACCGGCGCAGACACATATGTTTTACGAAGCGTAATGATTAGGAATTTTGGATTAGATTTAGAGGTATTACACCCGAGAGCGCAGAAAATTCCTGTCACAAAGCTGTCTCACCAGTTTAGGGTCAGTATTTTGCTACTATTGTTGGGAATGGAAACCCCCCAACCGCGACTTCATGGAATTCCTCTTTCCGCTCTCCCCCCCCCCCCTTTCAACATTTTGACATTCGCCGATTACAAATACGTATTCCCCGTTTAGGAATTGCACAACGCACGGTTGAACCCGCTTCAGGCTTATGCTCGAATTAAGAGGAAGTATTGGGTGGTCCAAAAGTTTCCGCCAATTTTGACTCTCAAATTCAAAAAGCACATATCTCTGTTCAAACAAAGCGCCTTTGCTCGAAATAAAAACTATTGCAATCCCTATTACCTTTTCTTACAATAAGTGAGCCTAGCTGATCCCGACGTTGGAAGTGCTGGAGTTCTGTGAGCTAAGAACTCGGCGAAGGTCGTGTCACCACCATTTTGGTTCCAATTCATTCATTTTCGATCTTTCTCAGTAGACCTTCCAGATGGTTGAAAATGGTACAAAGGTAGCAATAACTTAAGTAAGTAAAAATGCTTGCGGCACATTTCACAGCTCAGCTAACTCACACGTCCGAGCATTGAGGTATGTGCAGCTGTGGGTAGAAGAGCCAGCGGCACCCAATTCGCATTCTTTGGCTTTTTACCCTCACCGCTATGTTTGGAAATCTTATGTCGGTTACGCCCAATTCAAAAGCAGCCTGTTCAACAGTTTCATGCAGATCTGGTTTGGTCAAAACCCTCAGCTGATCTTTATCAGTCTCCGATATCACTAATCTCCTTCAAAGCTTTCAACATCGCGAGAAAGACATTTTGAATTACGACTGTTTCAGCGTATTTTTTGTGACTTCTCAAACCTAATGCTTATGGAGCGTTCATAGTTGGCGATCGCACGTGCGATTAGGCGATTAGGCTTTTCAGGCATTAGGCGATTAGGCGAGTAGGTGAGTAGTGATAAGAAGGAATGTTGGTTTTGCTCCGCCCATCGAGCGATCGCCTACTCGCCTACTCGCCTACAACGTTCTATGGGCGGAGCAAACCAATCAATACGTATGTGGTGCCTACTCCGCCTGATCGCCTACTCGCCTACTCGCCTAATCGCCCAATCTATACGTACATTTTCGTCATAGACGACTAATCGCCTAATCGCCTACTCGCCTAATCGCACGTGCGATCGCCACTCTGAACGCTCCATTGGTTGATATCGCAACCTGCTTGCGTACATTTTTGTGCAAGTTTGAGAGAAAACAAGAAGCTAGTGCAAAGGAGGTTAAGTATGTTGTATTCAGACTTCAAAAAAGTGGATAGCATTCATTCAGTGATGAAAAGAAGAGTAGATTTAGATAGAGCGAGGAAAGCGTTCTCCAACGATGTATAAAGTATTGACAGTTCCAAAAGTGCTCCAGAAATAAAGCATTCAAAAGTGAGCTACAAAGACGACGGAAACTTTCTGGATAGCCCATATTTTTTCACTCCCATTTACACCTTACAGGGGACGCAAAAACTGGGGACTCGCTAGCTCGCGTTTGGGTAGTTCTTTCTATCAAAGAGGTAAAAGTCTATGCAAAAATGACAAGAGCGAAATGTTAAATTGGTGAAATCACGAAAAAAAAAATTCAAGCACTACTGGCATATGCGAAACTTTGGGAGTGTGTGGCCATTTATTAACGTATGAGTCACAATCTTCTGCTGCCCTCTTTTGAGTAGTAATGGATAGTGTGTTCAGTTGTTTTGTAAATGACTTTGGATGGTCCAAAGAATAGTACCCGTATTATCATATCGCAGAAACAAACAATGATAGAAGTGAAATGAGGAAAATTCTGTACAGGGCACCTCTTCCAGTGCATTCACGTCGGCGATTGAATCGCGCTTGTGAGTAGGGTACTCATTAATTTGATGCTCTTTACCAGGTATGCACCGGCTGGGTTGAGAGCCGGTGACAGCAAGGCAGACATGCGCGACAGTTCACTAGGATGCAGCATTCGATCGCAAGAAATCACGAGAATGCATAACGGGGCTCGATGTCCAGTGACCAGTGTCAACGTCAGTTGGACGATTTCGAAATTTCACGGCACCTCCCCTTCTAGAGAGGCTGATACGACCCTTATACCTCGAGGATCAACCTTTCACGCAACTCGGCCTTAGTCGCCATGGGGCTCATTCTATATATTCATCTTACGAGGAATGCTCAATTGGTCAGTCCGGCCATTTGTAATGAGGTGTAGTCCGCTGTACTCGTCTTGCGACGCTGAGCTCAAATCCGTTTTCGGTATCTGCGGAACGATTCTCTGAAAGAAGTTACGAGGGATTCTTCTCACTGTGGCTTTCTCACTATGGCGCCCTCTACATCCTCGCACCCCGCTTGCCTCGCTCAAGTTGAGCCGGTGAGGAGCTTCTCAATGGGTCTGGTGGTGTAGTGGGTGGCATGATTGCTTCATAGGGTGAGGCAGGTGTTCAAATCCTTGGGCATGGCAAACTTTTGCATTCAGGGCTCCTCATACGAACCCAAAATGTGTTTATATTTGGTTATTTTGTTGATTTGCGTCCCCCTTTTACATCTGGAGAGTGCAGACTCTAGAATCTCCTTCTCGTGCTCATTTTTTAGTTCTTTATTGATGAACTTTGATACACAGAAGACTCTTAAATAACAATAATTCACACAAATGAGAAAATTCCATATACAGATTACAACAAATCTAGATTAGAATAAAGAAAATGGTTGGACATACGTTTGTCCACGGCAAGTTCTGAACTTGTCTATTACCCATATGACAAAACTACAGGTTTCTACTCTGCAATACTGCTTTGCATCTGAACTGATGGGAGATTGCGATTGTCCCAGTGTGTGATGAGTCTTTCTTTATTCGCTGTGCACACTGCGAAAAGCTGTTTTGTTTTGATCATTTTGTGAGGGACTATCATATTTGCTCGTATAGCTGGAATAACTTTTTGAAATTTTGTTAATTTAAGAGTCTTCTGTGTGTCAAAGTTCATCTTAATAAAGAACTAAAAAATGAGCACGAGAAGGAGATTCCAGAGTCTGCACTCTCCAGATGTAAAAGGGGGACGCAAATCAACAAAATAACCAAATATAAACACATTTTGGGTTCGTATGAGGAGCCCTGAAAAAATGCAAAAGTTTGCCATGCGCAAGGATTTGAACACCTGACCTCACCGTATGAAAGCAAGGGTGCTATCCACTACACCAACCAGTACCACATGAGAGAGCTCCTCACCGGCTCAACGTGAGCGAGGCAAGCGGGATGCGAGGATGTAGAGGGCGCCATAGTGAGAAAGCCACAGTGAGAAGAATCCCTCGTAACTTCTTTCAGAGAATCGTTCCGCAGATACCGAGAACGGATTTGAGCTCAGCGTCGCAAGACGAGTACAGCGGACTACACCTCATTACAAATGGCCGGACTGACCAATTGAGCATTCCTCGTTAGCAAGTCGACATTGCCCAAACTCCGGCCACTTTTTTTTCCTCCCTAAAACACCGTGAAACGGCAAAATTTTAGCGCGCCAACCAACTGCATCATCACTTCCCTTACTGTAACATTAACGCTACCTCGCGAAATACGACCCCCCTTTTCCACCCCAAATACGACCCCCACCCCTCGTTGGACTTTGTCCAACGGACGGTGGTCGTAGAGCA